CATTATAGGGGGGAATATATATCACAGTTTGTGTTTTATAGCAAACTGTCCCATATAGTCAAATATCTCATTATTTAGTAGACTATCTATTTTTTATTTAAATTCAATTGACAAAGTCAACCTCAGTATTGAGCAAACCAAACTGCTTGTACCTTTCGTTGGCAGCCCAAGTGTTTACCTTCGTATGTAAAAATTTTTGTGAATTCGGCAGCCATATCAATTAAGATAAATTTTCAACAATTTTGAAATTTTTTTAGATAGATTCGATTCCTCTCAACAGTGTTTAAGTACTCAATGTTTCACACTGAAAATTTCTCGTAGTCAAAGCTCAAAGTTCGATCTTATTAACAGGCTTGGGGCTGTGCATTGCCCTGGTGTTCCATGTAGTTTTGGATCATGACAAAGCCATGTCTAGGTGTATTTTCCGTACGTTTTTTTGGTTTAAAACCTGTTGTCGACGGTCATTTTATTACATTTATAAGGAATATTCTAAATGTTTGTGTAGGCTAGTGGATCTCAATATAGTTCGTATTCTCCGAAAACGCAAAAACGAATGTATGCGTTGGTACAATTATGAAAAAGAAGATGTTTATCAATTCTGTGGTCCTATGTTCACTGAATATGAAGATGCAGCCGTCAACTACTACATTAAATGTATGTTTTCGTGTGTATTTGATCCCTTAATAATAGATTGCTCGTTGAAGCAAACATGGGTTTAAATAATTTAAAATTGAGTGCCCATTCCAGTTAAGCGCAGTTCGTACTTTAATTTACGACTGTTGCTAAGTGTATGACCAATTTGTGTTGATTTTCATTCACTTAAGAATTGTAAGTCAATATAACGAGTTAGTAAATTCAGTCTTTTAATCAATTATTGTTTACAGTGCAATCATTCCAAATCACTAATTGATCGGTACTGTACTCATTATTTTAACAACTGAATTGTCATATAGTCTACAACACTTGTCTTCCTAAATTGCAAACCAGTCGATAATCGTAGATGTTGCGTGATATGACTTAACATCAGTCCTAGTGATGCAGACGCACTTTTTTACACTTATCTAGATTCTAAGTTTTAGTGTTATTCCATTCTTTATATTCCAATCGATACTCGATTTATACTAAGGACTAAACGCAACCGAAATTACCGTGTGTAACCAGCTACGTTTTACAGTGTACGAACATCTTTATTATATATAATCCCTAGGACAGTGGTAACTGGCGTCCCACTATTGGTAATCTACGAATTAGTGCAGACACCAACCCTGTCCGTTACCCCTCACCACACATCACTCCCTTCAGACTATGAATTTTTGTGTATGCCTTTCAGTTTATGGTAACTCCAACCAATGTACATATGTGCTAGGTTCTATATTTTAAATGACTGACTAGGTTTAAGAAATGTTGCCCAGACTTTTCAGAGATTCGTCGATGACGTACTTTTCAATATAATCAACGGGACTACATGCATAAGTTATTCAGAGGTCTTAACTTCGTGCATGCACACCTTGATTACTGTCTTATCGCAATCCCAGACAATCTCTGTAACGACCAGACTTTAAATATTTTGTCTGAACGGAACGAACTGAGGTTTATTCGATTATATTAATTTACGAAGCTTCTTTGAGTCTCTCAATCAAGGATTTTATCAAAACACATTTTGTACGTAATTTAATAACTGTCAGTCTTTTCATCACAATACATTTACTCATTCCTTTTATAAGATGGAGAATTACACTGGTCAACAAGTGTTGTTGATGCTTTTATGAAACAGAAACATCGTTTACTATGGGAAAAACGTTACGGCCCAGTTGGTAAAGCCTCTGATGAGAAAAAGAAACTAGCTGCAGCTGGTGATAAAGCAACTAAAGAGGGAAATTTCATTTCGAAAATACGAGAAATTGGGTTTGGTAGAGATATACCGAAAGAAGTTCATCTGTAGTTTACTGGTAAGTAACCCAATGTATATATATGAACACAACCTTTAATATCATTGTTAATGTAATGAAAATATTGAACTACTATTCGATAATAATGATAAAGTTGGTTTTTGCCAAGGAATTCAATTGGAGAACCATTAAAAACTGGGGTCACCAGACAGTTGTAAGTGGACGTCTACAACCCTACCGGAGACAGTCCAGGACCTTCCGTTTTTGTGGTAATCCTGTAACTCATTAGACTGCTAGGTTTGAATTCAGTGGCCCACATTCCCGAATTCAACCGATCCCTGACATAATTCTGACCCTTTTGACATGTCTACAACATAAAAGTGTACTCTTTGTTATCCACACAATGCTGATTTAAATCGAAAAAAATCTTTTGAGGATCGAAGTACTTTTCGATGTACCTCTACTTTTGTTATATGAAGCATACGTTGGTGTTATACATACTCCCAAGCTGTAGTTCTCACTGATGAATCAATGTTTTCCTGTTGTGTTTTAAAGCACTTGTGGTTGGACAGCTGACTTTCGACTGTAGCGTTTTAGATTCAAATCTCGCATTATTTTCAGTTTGTATAAGCAGATGGTATCGTTGCTGGTACTCATAAAAATACAGGTTATTCGAATCTAAGTACACAAACCTGTTTGTTTTAGTTATATGTTAACAGTTATTTTTCTCGGCATTTGGAATTCGTATCTTAAGTGTAAAAAATAAAAGGTGTAGTAGGACCTCTCAGTGTATAATCTTGTAAAATATCCATCTTTATGCCTCTTTCACTTGGAGGGGCAGGGATTTGTGTTTAGGGCATTCGACCCTCAGTCATCAAGTCCCTGATCCGAACACTATTCTGTCTGCTTCAGTTTAGATAACCGGAAATATCAATTTATTCCTCATACTCAGAGTGTAGCTGGAACTTAATCACTGGACAGATGAGTTAACTTATTATTGCCATCGTCTTTTTATTTTTCTGAAAAGAATCTAGGTAGCTCCAAGTGTTTATTATTACCGAACTTCAAAGATGGACATGATACAATTCTCGTATGGTTATAGCCTACTGGAATACTTCTTCCTGCTTATTATCGTGCTTGCCGAATAGGTTGTGTTTTTTTTTAAAAAGATAGTCTTCAGATTCTTCATTGAACCTGCTGACTTTCTAACAATGTTGTTTAATATTACATATGCATAGTCTTCTTCATTACGCAATCTAACTGCACACCTAATCAATCGTGTTTCTTATTTGTCCCTAACAAAGAATATTCTTAGGTTTGAAAATTTCAATTTGTGACAAATAATAGTGACAGTATAAAAAGTGTTGATTTTTCGGTTTGTCTCGTCATCTTCAGTAGCTGATCCAATTATCATTTGGTCAGATTATTGAATCAATTTTAAAACCAAATTAATTTGTAATATAGGATGTATAGAGGCAGTTGTCAAGACTAAAGATTCCAGAGATTTGTCGAAAAATTGTTGATTTCACGGCACAAGTAAACGTGAAACAATTTTCAAAAATCCTAGGTGTTTACTAATTCAATTATTTTATGTGTGTTGTTAAATAAGCTGTACAGGATGATTCGGGTATGAAGAAGTATTGCTTAAAACGTTATTGTGGGAACTGACTAGTTAATTTGTAAGGTTAAGATTTTTTACTTTGGTAGAAGTATTCCGAAGAACTACAACGTCAAAATGCGGTGTATAAAGATTGTTTTATGAACCAGTTTTGACTTTTAATGGCTAGTCAAGAAATTGAAGTTGTTTTTGGAAAAGTTGAGACAACGTCTAGACCAATATTATTTTGATAAATTAAAAAATCCATAATGATTTGGAAAGGGATTTGTGGTGGCACAATGCCTTCAATAAGTAGGATACCTGTTAAGCATAATAATTTGTAGTTTGAATATCTCATTTGAAAGAGTAAACATCTTACCTAGAGGCGAGCTTTGTAAATAACTCAATCGTTTATAAGCAGTTTTAATGAGTTAAGTTGCTTTTCTGTGCGTGACGAACAGTCTATCTAGGTTGAGTTTATGTCATGTCATTTCAATAAGGCTATTTATGTACTGCGTAAACAACGTACTGAGATATTTGACTACATAAAAAGTGAAATGTCCATCAAAATGACGATTCAAGTTATGTTATATATTATAACGTGCTTCGTAAGATTATTTAGCGATCATTGTATAATTAGCAAAACGTTCGGTGAGTTATTTAGTTCCATCTGGTTAGAATAGTCAAATAATATAGGGATTGTATATTAGAAATAGATCGATTTAGGTTGATGACCACGAAGAATTGTTAAATATAGGCTAAATAAGATGCTTTGTTCCCTATTTTAAGTACGTATCCCATTAAAGCATTAACAAAAAAGCATGTTTATGTTACTGATTCACATGTAAGCTATCGTTGGAAAACCTGAGGGACATTCTTTCTTAACTTTACGGCTCATGTGCGAAACAAATACGATTTTTGTCAACCAGTAAATCGAGAATGTTTTATAAGTCGAGATGTATGGGAGTCTATACTACGTAAAACAATTAAGTAGTCTGAAATCTTACATAAGAACTTAGTAGTCAAAAATTTGAGATTCTGACATTTGTGTGGATACAAATCTCATCAAGAACCAGTCTTAAGTGTTGACACTTTTGTTTTTGTATGAACACTTTCCCTTCTTTTTTCATAGTGCTCTAAGCGTTTAGATACCATAGCTTGGTGGGATAATCGGAATGTTCTTGTCCTGTTTTATACATTCCATTTGTAAACTTGGTTCATGCTCTAATTAGATTACGTTCCTTCTCAGAAAATGTTTAGTCTCAGGATTATTTACCTATCGATTAATCACATTCAACCATTGTAGTTCAATTCATTCTAGATAATTATTGTATATTAGGCTAAGCTTTTACACAGCATATCCGTTTCCTTAAAGGAACGAGCATGTCTGATTAGTACCACAAACAACAACGTACAATCATTTAGATTGAATGATAATCTCTAGAATAACGATCTATCCATTTTCTCCTAAAAACTGAACATACCATTCGAAAATAAAAGATCACATGTTTTTATGAACAAACTTATTTGAACTTATTTTTTTTACAACTTTTAAGATCTCATCCATAAAATTGAACTGTTGTATTCTATCATCATATATGTTACAAGTCGTCTCTTTGTAATCTAAATTAAAAAAGAATGGATAGATCAGATAAATAGCATAAGCAAGAAACATTCAAACAAAAACGAAGCAAAACAGCCATATTACATATCTTGGATTTCAGAATGTGATGTCATAGAAAAACATCGATCTGGATAAGCCTTAGCCTAAATATCAGATCTACTTTGAATTGATATGTATTCAGTATGTTAAAGTGTTGATTTTTTGCAACAAATAAATTGTATATTCTTGCGTGGTTGTACATCGTCAAATGGAACTGAACTATTTTAAGGAAGTATGTTTTACTAAGATTACAATAACTAGTGAAACTAAAGTAGCATTGTTTCTTCATTTGACACTGGTAAACGTAACTGCTCAACTATGTCCAGTATCTGTCCTTCCGCATAAGATAACCTAATTTGCATCATTTGTGGGTGGAACGCTACTTCTGCAAATAAGCCATCTAGCTCAGAGTATATAACACCCGAAAGTGAGTAGTTCGTTTATTGAATCTAGACAGAAAAAGCTGGTTATGAAAGAGCTATCTCACCCTATCCACTTCATAGCCGATTAAATAGTCAATATGGACGTGTCGAGGAGAATGAAAACCCTTCAATAGAGTACACTGATAGACAGCACGATTATTGTTTGAAGTCAAGAACCTGTTGTGGTAAGCTCCGAACAAAACAATATTTTTTTCAGTTCGCATTGTCGTAATTTCACTGTCCAAAGGGTCAACGTAAATAGTAGCCAACAGTCTTACCAACGACGTTTATTGATCGCAAAGAAGTCAATAGTAATCACTAAGGAAGAAATTACGATCTTGATAAACAGGCAGTGAACGATTTATAGGGCTTGTAACCGCAAATTCTGTGAAGCTGTGGTTAAGGAGCTTGAATTTCAACTACTAAGTCGGAGGTCCGAACCCTGCTCTATCTACCTTCATTTCAGAAGCCAGGTAGTATCAGTAGCCCTTACACTTAAAGTGTGACAGAGCCAAGTACACGAGTCCCCACTTGGTAAATGAGTTAAGTAGACCTACGATTGCATTTAAATTCGAGTCAATCTTATTAACTGAATCCAACACTCAAACTCATCTCATTTACACAAACAAATGAAACACAAAATGGCAATCATGTAAAAGGTAAGCGCTTAGCATAAGATGTAAGCTTTATCCTTGCTGAAAGCTTAGTAGTTTGGAAATTGACCACATACGAGTTAACGTGATTAAACGGGTTGGTAGATACGGAGGATTCACCTAGGGGAGTTAGAAAACCCTGATTCCAAATCAATCATGCACATGGGCTCCAGGATCCTGAAAGAACAAATGGCATATAAACTTATTGTTGGTCACCGGATACCATGGGACTGAATATCTTAACGTTGTTCCACTACCTTGTAGATTAGACCTCTAGATTAAAGGTTCGGGGAGTGACTCCCTGGCAGTATGCCAGCCCTCAAACCAACCGGATGACGAGGTGTGGCGCATATATATTTGGTGCCTCCTTGTACTAATATTTGTGTTTAAATAATAATAGTAAATTATTGTAGACCGCATCTTTTACAATACCATCTGTTACTTAGGCAAAAATCCAGCTTTTTGTAGAAAAACAGATTATTTCAGCTTATAACTCGATAGAATGCAATTCAGTAACAAGAGATTTGTGTATTCAGAGTTAAGTTGGATATTTTATTGTGAAAGGAGTGCTAATAATAATATCAATGATCGGAGGTTTAAACCAAAGCTGGTTTGGGCGGGGATTCAAGCTGGTAAAAAATTTGTTTGAAGGCCAGTTAGTTAAACTAGTATGCTACTATTGCTCATTTGTGGAAAACGATGCTACTGTATCACTATAACTTGTAATTATAAGTCTAACAAAACGGGCATAATTGAACATAAAAATAGAAAACTAAAGACGACATATCAACTATTTTTCTTGGTTACAATGCGTACAATAAAGCATGGGTCGAACCTCCAAAAACGCGCATGCACACATATACATTTTCATGATGGACTTGGAAGCGATGAAGAGAATGCGGAAAAGACAAATAAAACACATCATTAATGCGACAGGTTAAAATAAATAATTTATGTCATTATAAAATGTCAAAATGAGGTAAATGTATATATAGATAAGTCATTTTATGTCTCTATGATGGGTTTTCTTCAGTAAAAAAATACTTAATCAATTACTAGATGATGATTAGTAGTAGTAATAACTAGCCATTAGACAAAAAAGTAAGATGAAGACTGAGGGGGGGGAGGAGGCGGTAACCCCGATAGAACATGAAAACAATATAAATCGAAGTGATAATAATATAATCATTTTTATGAATGAAAACATGATTTAAGTGCAGACCGAAATCATGGTGAGGTATAATAACTAGTATAGAAGCACATTGAGAAAGAACGATTTGCTAGTTTAGTTTCTCACACCTCCCCCCCTAGAAAAAGTAGAATAGGTTTTCACATTTTAACACAGAAACAACAAATAATGTTCAGTATTGAAGCTGTCAATTACTAATTAGTGCTCCGTATCAATGAAATCACATTCATGTAACATAAGAATACAGTAAACAGTTTATGGTAAGAAATATGCATGGGTGATGATTGTGTTGGTGATGAAATGATAATTGGTTGATTTCTGTGAGCGAAAAAAACAAAACACATTAATAACAGTAGTTAAGAAAAATGGTGAGATTTAATGCCACCTCCTGGATAGGGAGAGAAAAATAGAGAAAAGAAATGTGAAAACGGAATACAACAAACACGAATATCAAACTAACAAGTAAAAAGCGAATATGGAGATAATATAGGACTCCTAAGTAATGTGCATCCTAGAACCCGGATCCAAGAATAGAAATCAGGACCAGTGGTTTCGCGCGCGAATGCTTAACCTCTAAACCAACGCACTAGCGTCCAATGGTGCACAGTTATAACTTTAATCAATCTACGTTATTGCGCAGTTCCTTCCCGTCGAATGTGGTGGATGAATGTCTCACATCCGGTGTGATTGACCTCCACTGATCACGACTTCTAGCTATAAATCAATCGGTTACATCTTGAATCTAGTCACTAGTGGACAATTATTATTAGTATAGAGGGATTTATGAAGATTGTAGAAAGCCGATAAAAAGATGGAACGGCCATACAGTCCTTCCATATATTCAAAGGTTGTCTAGCTCATTATCAGTTCATGATCTAATCTATTAGAAATTTGAAATCTCCACGAAACTGATGCTAGTAAGGGAAAAATATAATCAAAGGAAAAACTGGCTAGTAATACTGGATTACAACTCTTTATGAGATTTGTGTATACTAGAACTGTATTACTCATGAGTAATTAGTCTGTCTTACTGTAAACTTTTCGTCGGTACACCCATTCACATATCAGACTAAATTGAACTGGTGTTTATCCGTGATATGAGTTGACTAATGTAGCCAAGTTTACCAACTCAAATATGAGCTCCTTTTAAACTAAGCTAATTACTATTCATTGCATATATATATATATATATATATATATATATATATATATATATATATATATATATATATATATATATATATATATATATATATAATATATATACTCGAAGCTTAGGTTGACGCTTTCGATGTAGTGTTCTCTGAGCAAAATAGTTTAATTTCTGAGCTATTTCTCCCATTATTGACAGCATCTCCAGGGCCTACCTCATGTAGAAGTAAAGTTTTCAGTTATTTTACAAGTTTTATATCAGCTCGCCCTGATGGCAGTTTGTGATTGGCTGTTGTCTTCATTTATCCTTATATTCACGTCGACTGTCTTCGTCAGCTAGCCTCTAACCTTGTGATTAATTGACCTCTCCCAATATAAATCCATAGATTGAGTCTACGTCAATGTATCTGTTGGTTGACAATTGGTCTGAAAACAATGCTTTTAGAAATTCTCTGGCATTCTTAGATTTTCCCCAATGCAGAATTTCGACGTCCCTTAAACCCAGTTAATGTCCATGGCTGTCTGCACGTATTGATATCAGGATAGCACAGCATACCTTCACATTGCTAGTCAGTGTTCATTTATGGATAGATGAACAAAGCGCCCACTTCGTCCAATTTAATATTACTCGCAGATGGTGCAACATATTTTGTAAATGATATTTTGTTGATCATCATATTCTTGTTGCATCTTTTAGTCTACACAGAATGGAATGAAGTGATTGAGTTGGTTTCTGAGCATCTGATTCGAAACGGTTTTAGAATTCTTGTAACGGTTTGTTAAATATTTCTTTTATATGGGTAGAATGATCTGTTCAATAGTTCCCAGGGTTCGTTTTTTGATTATATGTTTGTTCGCTAAACACCTTTTAATATTGCTGTAGCAGTCGTTCCTACAGAAGACAGATTGAAAATTAGCTACTCCAACTTTTCGTGTCGCGCGAATACTGTAGTGAACTTTGGTCTCTTTAAAGTATCCGAACATAACTATTCTGTATAGTGTTGGGTTGCTACTGTTGTAGTTTAATAACTCATTTGTGTGATTTGGTTCCCAAAGTTCTTGTGTTTGTTCTGTTAATTAAAACGTCTAAGAATGAAAATTTTTGTTTCTTCTTCTCTGGTAAATTTTATGTCGTTGAAATTGTTATCAATCGATTTATGAGTAATTTCAACTTCCCCTCTCTTCAGGATAACGAATTTTTCACTGACAAAATGTGTCGAAATCTTCGGTTTAATTATTGGTAGCGTTGTAGCTACGAGTCTTTGTATAACAGTCAATCAAAATAGATCATCGAAATCAAGTGATGTAACACTTGGCGATTAATTGAAAAAGTCACTTCTATATAACGTAGGCGTTGAAGATGTTACCCAGAATAACAATAAAAGGTTCACAACTAAACCATTTGACTTAGATAACAGGACACTAGCAAATATTAATATATAAATATTTCAGAGAGCCGAAATAGTCGTCTCAATTTAGTCGGCTTCAGGTGTGTTATGCGGCGAATTTTTCACTTATTGGTTTAAACGTATTATCCAAATTAAAAGAACTCCGGTAAAAGGGAGAGCCATAAATTAACTGGTGATATGGTTTTACTTTTTTCGGTCAATTTCACTTATGAATAATATGTATAAGTTAAGTTTAGTTAAAGTGATTCCTTGAAGCTTATTACTGTACACTTTCGTCCTAATTATGAGTTAATTATTAAGTAGATTCTAAGAGTCTTTAGTATAAAAATGTAGCAGCACTTGCCTACTAAATGAACGAAAAAATGTCTGTAAATAGTGAATACATAAAACGTAGTGAACACTAAAAACGTTGAAGATAACCTTTATTATCAAAGCGGTGATCAAATGGTTAAAACTCGATTTCCAACTATTGAATAATAATAATAATAATGGGCAAATCTGTACTTAATTAATGAATTATATAAGTACCTAAAAAGGCCTATAGTAATTCTGGCGTTGCAGTGCGCGTCCATAAACTCCATCCGGGAAAAAACCCGGGACCCTTAAGTCTTGTGGCGAGCAATTAACCTTTAGATGATATATATATATATATATATATATATATATATATATATATATATATATATATATATTCGCTGAAGTGACTTTCACAAAAACTATAAGAATACGTAATGAGAATTGTTCAGATAATTGGACAGTAGTGCGTATATTCGAGAAAGTTGGGGAGTAAAGAAAAGTTAACGAACAAAGAGTATGGAAAATAATAAATAAAACCTTTTATTAAGACTAATTTGGCCAAGGAAGAGATAGAGATGTTGCGAATTTTTTATGAATACAGAGACTTGGGTTGTTAGCTCGAATTCCTATAACTTCTGCTATGTGTAAAAGATGAGATCGAACCCCATAAAGAAAACGTGTAGGGATATGGTAAATCACTTTACATGGCCTATTTCTATGTACTACATGAGCGCTATCGATCAAGTGTGACAGAACTGCGCTGCATATGGTTATGACGATACCCTTTCGTAAGCACGAAGAGAGGTGTTCACTAACTCGCTGGCTTACTTGTTCGGTTATACGTCCAATATAGATTTCTCTACAAGAGCTGCTGAAATCGTAGGTACACACATGTGGCAGAACCAGGTAACTTATCCCTAACTTGAGGAATCACAACAGATTGATAACGTTCTCTCCACTGCTCTAGTCAGTCTATCAATAGCACATCACCAGCTATATCTCCGCTGAATTGCAGTTTCAGGAAAGGAAGATTCTTACGAACTGTTAATGTCTCTACTTTCCTGTTTATTACATGCAAGTGTTTTTTAAAAAAACTTTGTGGATAACCCATTTTAATCGACATATTATGATTAAGCTCTAGTTCTTTGTTTATAATGTTGTCTAAGCATATCTTCCTAGCTCCATTTTCAAGACATTTAACTAGGTTTCTGTTATAATGAATGAGTATAAGGCCCGAAAAGTGTGTATACTGGCTTGCTGAAGAACAATTCCCATACACGTTTCTACCGAGAAATCCACTTTCTTCTCTGTATAACAAAGTGTTGAGGATATGTAGTTTGTCATCAAGTTCCTCTTGACACGTAAATTTGATTGCTGAATGTTCATTGTTAAGTAGCTATAAGACTTCTTTTCGATGTTCTAATCGACGATAATGAGTTTCAGCAATGTAGCAGCAATAAAAGTCAGTCTCATCAATAGACTCTTTGAAAGGTCCGCCCTCTAGATTCGCAGGAAATAAATCAGCAAGGATAGAACCTAGTGATAGATTCATCGCTATTCCATCAAATTATCTATAATATGTATTTTTAAAGACAAATGAACGTTCATTGTACATTTCAGAAGTAATTCTTTGAGGCTGATTTGGGAAATTCCAATACTGATCTGTTCTTCAAGTAATTGTTGACTCACAAAATCAATAGTCTCGGTTAATCGTACATTGATGATCAAGGAAGTAACATCTACAGAAATCATCCATTTCCTATCTAAGTTCCGCCTTGAAAATGAATTTGAAAACACTGGGAAAATTATGAACGTACCGCTCCGGGTCAAGAGGGAACTTTCTTTCTGGTTTTTGATGTTCGAGTGATTTCATTAGTTCTGTCCCTAATTTCTCGGGACTAATTTTCGCAACAACTTTAATATAATCCATGAATTGTGATTTTATTACCGATGGTACGTTGTCGACAGTTCATTTCCTTTGCAAAAGATTTTCCAGACCGATTATGTGCATTTTTAATGAATATGGGTATTTTTAAGGTTTTAAAATATTAGAGATTCCGATTGTGAAAATTAGAACAACACAGATATATTGCTTTCAACTAGACCGTTAGCATGCTCCACTTTAATATTTATGCTTAAGTTTTTTAAACTAATCGATGGAATTTGTGAGTTAGTGATCACAATACAGTAGATTACATAACTGCAATGTGCTCACTGTCAACCAAGTGTGGCAAGATAGAGATATGTATTGTCTCTTTCTGGTCCTTTCCAAACCAAGCTGAGAGGTATTCACTTATTGATTGGTCAAGTTGTCTGGTAGCACACTCAATATAGTTATCTCTGCAGGAGAAGCTGAATTTGTAGATGAACACTAAGATCAACTTAGGTAATTTATCCTTTTTTGGATAGATATCACCAGCTAGCATGTTTAACTTTAATAAATTCGCGTTATTGCCATCGGTGAGTAACTTTCTAAAATCCCCTGATTACAACTTCTCACTAGAACTCTTGGAATCCCTTCTCTAAATTAATCACCAGTAAGCACATGATTACCATTAGTGTAAGAGGTTGGTACAAATATGCAGTTGATTTTGTAACTCTAGGATCTTTATCTACAAGCATCCTGATTAGTGATTTCCGAATAGAAAAAAATAACAAACAGTAAAACTCAGAAGTCCGCCAACGCATTTTTTTTACACTTTTCGAGATGATCTGTGACTTATTAACTTAGGCGCATTTAACTATGAACTGAGTCGGAAAGTTTGATTTCTGAGTAGAAAGGACGAGTACGATGATATAGGATAATATATTTCATTTCAGGTTTATCAGAAGATTTTGAAAAAGTGTATGCGTAAAAACAAAACACCAGACAGTGATATGTTTGTTATGAATACTTGTCAAATTAACTCACATTTTGAACAAAATAAGATATTATGACATGGAAATATACATAACTTGCCAAAAAAAGGAGTATGTATTCAACTCTGATATGCAAATTGAAAAAGTAGAAAGATAGGAATTCTTGGATTGAAGAAACGATACTCATAGCTAATATATATATTTACGCCAGCTTAAATTACTATACCATGTCCACACGATGACATGAAATTACTTACATAAATAGTGGAGTCAAAATAATGTGGTAAAAATGATAATGAGAAAGGCTAAATACTTAATATATGATTTCAATAAAGGAATAAAACAGGCATGTATGGAGAAATACTAGAACTCGAAGTTTATAAGAAGATAAATGGTGAATGCACTTCAACCATTATGATCAATTCTGAGCCATTTCACCCAATTGTCTACACAATCTTTGGTCACTATGATCGTGCAAATACCAATCAGGTGATCTGTACTTAACAACACGGCTTAATTCAACAGTCAATGACTTCGTGCATTGATGTTACGTCTTCATTTAGCCACTACTAACTTTCTTCCAACTTTTACACCAGTTAATAACATGAGTCGAGGTATGGGATATGTATATATCACTGACTTTGGAGATAATTTACATCATGCGATGACTTTAATGGGTAACCACTGAAAACTAGAGAGGATTGGACAAGCGTTTTATTATAGTTTAGAACTCTCTATTTTAGCACTGTACACCTACAATCTACATATTACATGGAAAGAAAAACTAGTCGTAAAAAAATAATTTCAAATATGTTGAACACATTAAAACTGTTAGATACTTAATAGTAGTTATTTCAATCGACTTATTCGAAAGTTTAGAATAATATAAAACAACAATCCACTGTTGGGTGCATATATGCGTAATCATATTATGTCATGGATAAATTTCCCTGTAGATGTAAACAGTAAACATGTATATGCAATACAATAATAATAATCTATTGCCTAAATGTCTTAACTACTAATGTATTTGGTCCCGGTCAAATGAAAACGAAATAAGCTAATTTTCCTAACACAAATATTGTTTAACCCAGCTCACAGTCTCAGACGTTATCACTGAACTGTTTGAGTAGCAACTGACTTCTAGTATGATTGAAATACTTACTGATATATATGGGCATCTTTAAAAAAAATCCAAGTCTTACCTTGGCCCAACTTGTCGATCTTTATCGGTTAACGGAACATAAATCACACCCATTAAAGATTTTCTTTGAAAGGAACCATCTTGCAAACGATCAATTTGAACTAATGCTTGATTTCCACCTTCTGGTCCTTCAGGACAAATTAAACGACCACCAATTTTCAATTGTTCTTTTAGCTAAATTAATAAATATAAAAAGGATATTAAAAAATGAGGGAAACGCGTCAGTCAGTGGGTTGAAGTCAATGTAGAGCAAGCTACAAATGTCGACCAGTTCAGCTGGTCACTCCACATTAGCACGATCAAATGAATTTAAAAAGATGAGCAGCAATAATAGAGAGAAACATTAAGGACTTGAAATACTGTTCAACAAGGGATGAAAATGTATGTGTGAAGGAATATTGGAACTTAAGATCAAGAGTAAAATAAAGAGTGAGTACACCTGTATTACTGTGAAAGATTGTGAGAAATGCCACTCAACGTCTCCAATCACTGATTGTTGTTATCGCATAGATCTCGAGTAATACATAATAATTATTTGATTAAATGCATATTTTATAAACACTCTCAAAAATTCAGCCTCTGATGAATCATAGTTTAATAGATAGAGGTGATCATTGTAAGATTGTGCCAAACTGAAGGAAGTAGTCAATTAAGAGGATGAGTTATTCATAAACTAATAAAATTCAAGTTGATATGAATAAAAAGTGAACACACATCCAGAAACCTAACTTTTTAATGTTCATGAATTTTAGGTTACAAAATATATCTCTGAACTTACTGCATTAGGAATAACTGGAGCCGCTGCACCTACGTGAATTGCATCATAAGGTGCATCTGACGGCCATCCTTCACGACCATCACCAGTAACAAGTTTAAGTTGTTTTCCTAATTCAATTCCAGATAATCGAGCATTTTGGCTATGATTAAACCAATTTTCAACATTTGATAGAGAAAATTTAGTCAACTCATCAATATGTTCTATGCCTACAGCAACACCTGTAGGGCCTACCTTAATATCAAAATTAGAGAACATAAAACAAATGAATATTTTACGACAAATTTAATTTATAGAGTAAGATTTCCTGAAAAAAAATGATGGGACAATCCATAACTGCAATAATTCAACAATACTGAATTATTTAACACTCATAAAACTGTCAGTCTTTAAGTTTTAATTATAATTGTTTATTATATTAACCAAACTTTGTAATATGTATAAAAACATTCATTTTATTATGTCTTACTAAGTTAGAAACAATTACCAAATAACAGAAACAGTTATCACTAGTGGCAATGAATAATCGTTGGGTTATTTTGTATATTCCGAATAATACCGCTGAACGCTGACCCAGTAGTTCTGATGGTTCGGCATTTGCTGTGAGACTTGACGATTCTGGGGTTTAACCCCTAGTAGGGTTGTAGATGGGCGCCGCTGAGGAGTCCCATATTATGATAAAAACAGATACTCAGTATCCCTTGGTTTTTAATAGTAAACTAACTGATATAGATTTGAGAATATAGCTTACAAATTAAAATATTCTACACCAAACCCTTTCAACTATATAGAATATCAGTTTGAATCGTCACAATATCCAAAGGTATATAGGAGTATATTAAAAGAAGCTGAAAGGATATAATAAGAAACAAACAAATAGAAAGTAATGACGATGCTTTATTAGAATTAGTACTATAACCATGAACTTATATTTGTACAGTTGTTTTTTATAGCTATACTCTATTGATCTATTTGAAATTATGCCTTTTGATAATGATATGAAGTAACTGCTTCGTAGTTGAATTAATTAAGACTATTGAAGTTTGAACAGTATATTAGTGTCCCTAACCTTTCCACGAAAAATAGTACACGAGTATGCACTTTTTTACTGATACATAAAAGGAAAGAAACCGATATTTAAGAGTAATTATCGATTAGTCAGTGTTATAAGTCACCAAATTCAATTCCTTTCGTCTGTAACAAAAGTTGATAACATACTAAATTAGGCAGCTGGGATCAATTATGACCTCCAAAATATCAATATCAGCTTTCTGAGATAGTAATTTGAAAGAACTATTCCGATGTTTATTCTAATTAGATGAAATTTTATACCAAAGCACTTAAGTTTAACTAAGGGATTTACTATGTTGTCGAACAAAAAAGTAACTACCTCATGGTTACAATCAGTAGTTGGTATCGTAATAACTGTAGCTGCTATCTTGACGTGATGGTCAAGTCTTACTGTCTTGATGACTCAATAGAGCTATGTTGATTGGAACACTTGCTCTTTTAGGTTCACACTTTATACCATTTAGATGATTCTGAAGAGCCAAATAGTATAACTACTCATAATAAATACAGCTTAAAGTCTAGTACACAAGAATGAACTTGGTAGACTAGTGAAATTATATGGAATGAGAGTAAGGGAAGCATACATATTGTATATGCATAAACATGATATTCACTTTATAAGTGAAGGATATAAAACGATGACATGATATGACAATAATATCTCAATAAAGCGAGATAAACTTACCATAAGAGCCATACACGCCGTTAAATATCCACTACCTGATCCAACATCTAAAGCATGTGCACCAGGTTTAAGATGATCTCTTAATGCTTCCAGAGCATAAGCATGCTACACATTTTAAGAAAGAAATTAAATAGAAAGTAAAGCTTTCGAACAACTTCAGGTTTTCAATATTAGTTTAACAAGGGAAACGAGTGAATGTTCAAAATCCATGTATATTTGTGAATGTTAATTGGTTGTGGATAAATTATTGATTGACTGTGTGTTACAACCAATGAGAGAATAGATAAAATTGGTGTGCAGACACGCGCTCAATCAAACTCACACAAAATTTTACCCCATCCGGGCTATATGAGTTTATTCGCATGCCTTTTGAACTAAGGAATGCCGTACAAAGTTTCCAGCGTTTTACCGATCAAGTGCTATGTGACTTACCGTTTGTATACGCTCACATAGACGACTTACTTATCAACAGCAAAGATGAAAATAAACATTTAACTAATCTAAAAATGTTTTTCGAGAAGCTAAACGAGTATGGATTAGCAGTCAATCCTGAGAAGTGTGAGTTTGGAAAGCAACCCCCTCACCATTTTAGGTCACGTACTCGATAATCAAGGTATCAAACCAGTTCCTGAGGGAACACAAGTCATCAAAAATTACCCTTTACCCGATTCACTCAGAAAACTACGACGTTCTCTTCAGACGATCAACTTTTACCGACCTTTTATTCCGAAATGTGCTGACATAACGAAACCACTAACTGATTTGTTAAGGGGGCGCGCTAAATCATTAATTATGGCACCGCAAGCATTTGAACAGTTAAAAAACGCCTTAAGCACCGAAGCATTGTTTGCACGAAGAAAGTTCGATGCATCTTCGGAAGTAATGATTGACGCCTCTGATGTGGCAATAGGTGCTGTACTGCAGCGACGTGTCAACCAACAACGGCAACACCTTGCATTTATCTCTAAAAGCTAAACGCAACACAAACAAAATATAACATGTTCAGTAGAGAACTGTTGGCTGTCTATTTAGCCATCAAACACTTCCGGTATGTTAGAAGGCAATTCTTTTGCAATATTTACTGAGCGCAAACCTCCAAATAAATCCTTGATACATAATCATGACAAATATAATCCGCGCGAAATTCGCCAACTAGGATTCATTTCGCAATTTGCAGCTGACATACGCCATATAAAAGGCAAGGAAAACGATGCAGCAGATACATTATCGAGAGTAAATATTAATATCTTTTCAATCCCTGAAATAAGCTATCAAGATATGGCAAAACATCAAAAGCTCGACATGGAGCTATAAAAACTTTTGCAGTCTATGGAGCAAAACCAGCGTTTTTAGAGCACACCAAAAAACAGACAATGATAAAATCGTCTAAATCTGCAGCAGAGCAAGCACCATACAAACTAACTGAAATAAACAATACTTCACACCGAAGTCCAGCAGCAACAGAAACTACAACATCAGGAAGAACAGTAAACCGGCCAGATAGGTACGTAGCAACACATACAAGCTGTCATTTCAACTTAACGCTTACTTACTACATTTTGTTGTACAATTATCTTAAAGATAGTTTTTTATCTCTGTATCGAATATAGATATTACTAAAAGTTTTATTTAAAAAAACATCAGTGTTCTGGATGGGAGCTTATGTAGTAAACCCATTCAACTATTGTATTATTTGTCTGCTCACTGTGATTCAGACATTCAATCCACTGCGTAAAATTTTGTGGGAATTTGATTGAGCGCGTGTCTGCACACCAATTTTATCTATTCTCTCATTGGTTGTAACACACAGTCAATCAATAATTTATCCACAACCAATTAACATTCACAAATATACATGGATTTTGAACATTCACTCGTTTCCCTGTGTGCTGGATATCTGCGTACTTGTGGAGTTTCACTAATCACTAACATTATACTATCTCTACAACTTGTGTTCGTGCTTTTGAATAATTCCGAGTAAATTCATAATTCTACTAGAAGATTTAGCCTGTGTTAAATACTCGGTTAACGAGATATTATTTATTGGAGTCAGATATTAAGGAAATTAACCTTTATAAGTACACTTTGCAGTATAACCAATGATCGATGCGGATGAGTTCGAAAATGATAACATCTGAGAATGAAGATATTTTGAAAAAGATCAGTGCAATACTTAGTGGAAAGTAAGGAGTAATGATACTTTTTTGATTCACAGATAATTCAATAGTCATTCATGTCACTTATGACTTTAGAGACTTGCAAATTCGCGAAAATGATCGGCTAAAAAATATATAAACTTCATTTTAAGATCCCAACCCTTCAACTTCTAGTGCAATGTAACTTATTAACCAGGTATAATTCCAATATTATTTTTATGCTGCATTTCTCGTGATACTATTTTGTGAATGGAGGATTTGAACTCACCACTTACTGGTTGGAAGACAAGTTCTTCAACTAATAAGCCTCTTTTAACTAAAAGACATTCATTTAGAAAATGCGATAGTTGTGGACATTAATTACGTGGAAGGTTATTGGTCTTGCTTGTTAGTGTACTATAGCTCATTTTGAGGGTTGATTTTTCCTAAGACGAAGATTTAGTGGCTGTTTGAATTACACGAAAATCAAAGGCTGAAACAAAGATATACTAATCTGATGAAGAAATCGGATGAAATAATTTTCGGAAGATCCAATTTGAAATATTCCAACTAGCCAAAACTCATACGAAGGTCTAGTGATTTAAGTTCCGACGCTTCAATAGTATAAAAACCATTAACGCAAGAATGAGAAGTAACACGTTAAGGTGATGAATAATTTTGGCGAAAAATTACAATATTATGTGTAACGCTACAACCACCAGATTTTTCATGGCAAGATTTCAGACATATATTTGGGTTAACAGATATCAACGAACTGCCTTAGCACATGTAAGGTCGTTTTGGCTCTGTAAACCAAATCAAAAACTAAGAGTAAACTTCTGGATTAATGAGAACCCATCAGCAATATAAAGGTCTAAAGGGAATAAATGCTATCGTATTTTTCGTAGCCATCTTAATCAGATTATATTACAATGCGACAGAATGTATATAAAAAATGTGGTTAAACTGATTAACGTAAACCAGTTTGCCAAAACAATTCATAATTTTAAGGTTCAAACAACTTCCACGATAGCAATCTTAAGGAACCCTAGAGATGCTTCGGAAAAGTCTGTATTCAAAATGCTTGAAGGTATTCCATATTGCTTAATTCTAAATCATTTAATACCATGAAATACTTCCATGGTGTACATGGAAGTTTAACTATGTCGATTCACCGCAAATAAGTCGCTAATCATTGCTTGAAATTTCAACAGATTCTATTCCTAATAAACTGATGTAGAGAAAAGCAAACGGTCTCAGACTGATTGTCCAAGACAGTGGCGAGACTACAATTTGTGGACGAACTAATCAGACTCAAGACACCAAGTCTTGCTTGTTAGCGCGAGATTCACACATTCAAATGGCTAAATAGCATTTTGAAGTTATGGCTGATGTTAGTTCATACTGAGAACACCAACTCTAATTCCGAACCATAATTCCTCGCACTAACCTATAACTTTCTTTCAACTCTAGTAAGCAGGTGAATATTTTTAGGTCCATTTTAACAGCGCTCGAAGGTCGTTCATACATTAAAGTTTCACCAAACGTCCTTATCACAACCGTTCAATTCGAATAACTAAAAACAGTATGTGAGATCATTCGCTTCCTAGTGGTTTACGAAGAACAAGGATTTCTACAGAATTACTCAGTCGGTTTTCTGAGTTGTTAAGTTTATAATATGACAAATTCTAACGACTAAGGATTGGCTAGGCCAATTCATACTGACAATTACACCAGTAATGGTCTTAGAAATAAAGACGTTTATTTACCTGAGAAACCCTATTTGAAAGTAGAGGACTATTGGTTTATCTCTTCCCAGAGAGATCGATAGGGTTTAAACAAGAAAAGAATGCATCGCCAACTAACTATTAAATTCATAATAATTCGACAGTCGCATGCTACTCAAAATCCAACTAGCTCCACTGTATAATCACACTGTGTAAAATAAGCTGTTTTTGTTAGATTTTGGGATTATAATCGTGTTGTATAACTTGGACCATCATCCTTACCATATGAGGAGCACTGATAGTCGCGGCATAGCCGATAGAGGATGGTCGGTCTTCGTAAGAATTCGATCTGGCAAAGTACCCACGATCCACGGAAAGCATAGTATTCCTGACAATCTCAGATGAAATTACTCGATTTCCTGTTTGAAATGTTAAGGAGAAAGTCTAATTACTGAATAGATTATTTATAAGTTCTGTATGTGTGCTACCGCTCGACTTCCAAGCCATGGATGAGTTGGTAATAAGTAGAAGAGTTAAAGCGATTAGAGTGTATCTAAAAACGTTTACTGTATTCATATCTTATTAGATAAATGTTTAGTAACCACAATTAAGCAACCATAAGCAGGAATTTGATATTTCCACTGACCTTCATAATTAGTCATAATCAGCATCGAGAAACAACGTCATTCCTATAACATTAATTTCAAGACAACTAAAGTAAATACGTAAATTTACGTAAAATACGTCGTTCATTTTTATTCATTTATTTGTAACTGTAGAGATAACAATTTTGGAAAGTGATGTCATTGAGTCAAATATCCATTATCTTGGCAACGGGTTTTATAATATTTGATCTCGTTTTACAATGTTAGCATGTGATTCAAGGTCTTCGGTATCATTCATTATGGGTCGTTTTACTGTTCAGCTGCACTATTCTTAGTATATTTGAGAGTTGATTTCAGGTTAATATTTATTGTGTATAAACGAGTCCGTTTGTTCTAGGGCAGTCGGTATGCTGGGATCGGCAGTTTTCACATTACTGAGAGCGATATGAGCTTGTTGCAATCTGGATGATTATGAAGCTAGAATGTGGGGGAGCGGAGATAAGATGACAGTTAAGATTATTGAACGAATACTTTATTCACCAAATGTGAACAAACAAAAGTTTTATCATAACATGTAAACGGAGGCAACAGTAGGTGGTAGTAATGCGAAGAATGACACACGCTATACGTAGTTCCTGTACGGAAAAGGCTACAAGCCACAGGTGGGTATAGAGTTATTGAGCCTCTCCATAAGGCTGTCAGCTGAAAGGGATGTCGTCAAGTCGGCTTGGAGAGCATTTCAGACAGGGATGAGTCATAATGAATCAAAGTGTGGTCGTGCTTAGGTATTGGGTCATTGGTATAAAATTTGTCTTCGGTTGCCTCAAGAAGTGCAACGGTAATCTTTACTTGGGTGACTGAATGCCCAGTTTGTTGCATACTACACGTTGCGGCGAGACTACATTTTAAAGACGAACCAATCGGATTTGAGATCTCGGGTTTTAGCGCGAAATTCATCCACACATTTGGCTAAATACCATTTCGGCATTATAACTTATGTCAGTTCAGAATGAAAACCCTAAATCTTGTTCCTAAGCCTAACCATCAATTGCACATCATAATTCGAATTCCTCACATTGCTTTATAACCCTTACTTAGTCCTAGTTGATAGGTGGGCACGCTCAAGGGTCATTCATAAATTAGAATCTCACCTCCCTTAGTCCTATTATTTGAAGCAAGACAAGTACCAGACAATTTATAATTTTTTGAACCATTTTCCTGATTATTATGATTTAGATTTTCATTGTAAAGTTGGTCAGTGACCTAATCATTGCATCTCTATGCTATCCTCACTGTGAGCTTCCAGGGGATTTGTTGGCTGACGTTGCGCTTACCTCTATTTCCTAATTGTTACCAATTGATAACGTGATGCTTGCTTCACTGTATGCTTCTTGTCGCATTGTTGTGTTTAAAGCACGGTTTTTTATTTGGTATACTATTTGGTCTAATACCACGTGTATATAAATTAATAGATGTTTGATATGGTTGTTAGCTGTATTTGTTAGTTAGGCTGGGTGAGTGAAATGTACTTAAGCAGCTGTCTGATGACTTCTCTTTGAACTTAAGGAAAAGAAGAGAGAAAAGTAGGCAGATAGTGGATCAATAGAAGTGTAGCCCGAGTTGGCCCATGGTTAACTGTACAATGCGAAAATACACAAACCAAACATTCCACTACGTCCAGTTGTAGCACTCTCCGGAACCCCAACATACAATCTGTCAAGAAAATTTTCACGGATATTGAAACATCTAATAGATTAATCCAATCACTCCGTCAAATCTTTTATACAATTCCTGGGTCAGATAAAGGATACTCAAATCAATAACGATGAACTGATGATATCATTCGAGGTAATAGCCTTGTTCACCTCGATCGAACCACGCTTAGCAAAAGAAAATCTGTCCTCGTTTCTCAACAACGACACAAATCTCGCAAAGTACACGAAGTTTCAAAGTCAACATTTACTAGAACTCATAGATTTATGCCTAACAACATATTTTCAATTCAACAACAAAATCTGAGAACAGATGAAGGGAACGCTGATGGTATCACTAATACCAGTATTTATCTCAGAAACAGTTATGCAGAAACTGGAAGCCTCGATCCTATCAGCGATCAAGACAAAAATTGGGATTCGTTATGTGAACAACACATTCATCATCTTCAAAAGGACTAGCTGGAAGACACCTATAATCTGATCTGAAACGTCTTCGATAGCATAAACTTCGTAATGAAACAGGAATCAGACAATAATCTACCAGTCTTGGATGTATTAATCACCAGAGCCGACGCAAGAAAACTGGAAATCAAGTATATCTGAAGAGGACCAACGCAAATGAAATTCTCAATTACAGTAGCAACAAATTAAGAGCTCGAAAAATCAACTGACTACAGACCCTATTCAAGAGGGCGAGAACACACTGAAACACTTGATGACCATCTTTCAAAAGATCGGCTACTCAATCAACTTCATAAAATAATACCAGCTAAATGCATCATCGGAAACAAAGTAAAGTACAGAAGCCAACAAATGGATCACCCTATCATATATAAAAAACATATCAGAAACTACAACAAGATTGCTGAAACCTATCTGGATAGGTGTAGCATACAAACTAACAAAATCACTGCAAACCAAAGGATGAAATGACAAAAGAAAAGCTGATCATCATCTACAAAACAAATCGTTCCAACTGCGAAAAACACTACATCAAACATAGCGGATGCCCTCATAATCTTCGCATGCATGAACATTAACTAGTGGTCAAACGCCACGACTTATCCTCACTTATATCAATGGATGTGGACAACTATGGACACACATTCGACTGAAAAATTTTTTGAGATCTTGGATAGATGCTATTCTAAAAAAACACAAGAGAATCTTTAGAAGCTTGACACTCAGGTCAGTTAGCACTCAACAAACACATTCAAATCGATCCAATTTATCATCCAATCAGAAAAATTATGGACAAACATACGACCGAAAATCAGACCAATGGTAGATGCAACCAAAATAAAGAAGTAACTAATGATAGGTTTAATGTCACCAATAACCAATAAACATCGTGGTCAACAGAACAAGATGCTAAGCATATGTGGAGTAATTCGAACACTTCACTTCTACCTGAAGTTTTTGCCAGTGATTTCGTTCAGAATAACGATGAATGTTCCGCGAACAAACCACCCAGCACAGAGACCAAATCTTCATCAATAAAGGAGTAGAGTGGGTTTTGGCTTCGTCTCCTTGGTAGCTGTCTCTCATGCCCGGGCTGTCTGTTAGCAACAGATATAGATCGCTTCCTTAGGATGGGGGTCCGAAATCTGTTATTGATACCGACATGCTGCATGTTAATCCCCGTCCGAACACTTGAACGAGAACTCAGGAGTAGACGATAAATTGTATTGGACTAATATATGGATAATATGAACAAATATTCATTTATGTGCCTACATCTCTACCCCTAAGAAAACAAACCCATTTCTTAGCCAATGATGTGCACTGTCCTTCAGGTCACACTTCATTGCCGTCAGTTGATCTACCCAGTTGACCACTTCTGACTGACCCACCATATCACGCCTTTTGAGATTCTGGAGTGGGGGTAACCTCAGATATAGTCGATTTTGGTTTCCTCCATTGTTTGAAATCAAACCATCTGACATTTTTAGGGATTGAGTGTCATGCTACTCTTGTGTTTGATCTCCCAGCCATGTTGGGCCTCCTTAAAACGTACGTCGATTAGCCCCACATCTGACAGCTGTACATAGTTTGATATCGTCTGCGCACATGGGAACTAAGAAAAGTTGGCGAATGTTTGGGACAGCAAAGAGCCTAATATAGAGCCTTTTGGAACCGTAGACATAAACGCTGGAACTTGAATTCACTATCCCAACTTTCTTGCAGAAGTTTTGTGCATATGAGTGGTTCCTTAATCAAGAAAATATTAGGTCTGTGAGTTATATTTACTTAGATTTAACCAAGAGAGGATAGAGTAGCACAGTATTAAACGCTTGAACAGTGTTCCGGAATATTGCATGTACTGGGACTTCCTGATGCCGGTGGTCTATCCAGCTGTCCCATGACAATAAGGCGTTCAGGGTGCACAATGTGCTATTCCTGAATTCGTGTTGTATGTCGTAAAATAGTTTATGAACGTTCGTGGACTCCATCATGTGGTCGCCCATTAAATTTTTCAGCAGTCTCGAGAGTTCTGGAAGTGGCTCTGAAGACGTTTAAGAACCCGGATGTTTTCCGTTTTTATCCTTTGAGATAAGAGACTGGATTTTTTATACCCACTCACTGGTTAATGGCTTACAGTCTGAGGACTGTTGCAAAATGTCAAACACCAGATGGCAAAGGGCTTCGTTACGTCGTTTTGGTACGATGGTGAGCAAGCTACTGTAGCTCGGGTGACTCGCTGGTTAAGTGTATTGGCCCTAATCCTTCCTTCATACTGCTCCTTACTATCGGACCTCTACGGCGGTGCAAATGACTGTTTTGTTCAGCAAGGTCCAAATTGAGGATTTCGACAACTTTAAAATAATAGACAGTTTCACTCCGAGTTCTCTCAGTGAAAAAAACTCTCAAACCTCTACTTCTCGTTAGAAACAAGCTTGTTTGAAAGATTTCTTGTCAATCCTTGATCATATGACTGACCTCTTTCTGAATTAGTTTATGCAGGTAATGGTTAGAGCCTTTCAGTAGGGTTTACCATCTGTTTCAAGTCTCATCTTATTTAGGTTGTTCTCGTTATTTGACAGCTGGTTATTTGGTTAGGATGGTTTTCCGCCGTTCCTCTATCTTGTAACACTCAATGTATGTTCCATTAGCCCTAAATTTTGACGGTGTCTGCTAGTTGTTTGTTGAACCTCATATTGTTTAAGATTTACATATGAACTGTCAACACCGCCTGCTATGAGCAAGTCATCGAACAGTAGTTGTAACATTAACGACAACATCTGAAGAATGTTTTTTACTTTTGGCGATCCCTAGTGAAAAGGTGGTGAATTCCTCTTGGTTAATACTTGTTACCGTTCATTTTTCAAATAATACTGGCTGAACCCTTGTAAATTACTCACCACGAAATTATTCGACTAGGTTGCTAGTCCTACGGAAGCTGGAAAATATGCGTTTTTCGTTGTGTGACGAGTTCACTTTGTATGGCTTCGCTTTGGGCCCCGTAAAGTGTGTTATTAATCGAAATCAAATGAAACAGAAACATAGTCTGTTGGTTGCACTACTCTTGCCTTACCGATTTCGATTTCAGTAATGTTAGCATTATATTTGCCATATTTGAAAAATAGAATAATAATAGAATAATAATAATTAATTTGGTTCTGTGTAATTGAGAAGATTATTGAAATGAGTTTAAAGAAGGAGAGGAAGAAATTAAGGAAATAAAATAAAGGAGACGTCAAATGCGCAAGTAGTTTAATAGGCGTGCTTATGAACACAGAACAAGAATAAACGACTGTGTATATATCGTCAACTTAGTATTAAAACATAAAATAGAAAGTAATTGAGAAAAAATAACTTATCATTGTAGTAAGATATGACGTTAGTTCTATTTCTCATCCCAAGGGAAAATTATCAACTCGCTCACTATTTGACTTACAACCAGTTACGACTAACGCTGTCAACGATAGTCCATGGATGTCTCTTCATTTACTAACTTGTCATCTTATTTTGTAGCATGTGATTTCTTCTACAACTATCGCTGGCGGTTTGCTGCGTGCTTTCAAGAGAAAGTGTGAGAATGTGAAACAAGAATATCTGAGGAAGTGCTGCGAGCGGGCTACCCAACACCATGTTGGTGAGGTACGATTTTTCCATGCTCAGACCGGCTATCAGGTGTTTACTCACCTGCCTCTTGAGTCGCCCTCAAGTAAAAAGTAAAGAAGAATCTACTTCAAAGGTAATGATGAAAACCAATCAAACCTGAAGAACTGCTCGACTGCCTGCATAAAAATAATAAGATACAAAATGGAAATACATAAATATAATTGATAATTGTTCGGTTCCACGTAAGTGATTGGCCTTCAGAAAGGATTGGTATTCTGGAAGGAAATAGACATAGTGTAGCCATCTTGTGTACGAAAAGGTATGAAAACAAAAAAATACTTTTTTGTAATGCACATATGTAAAAGTGTAAACTTGCTAGAAGTTGGACTCATTGTCAAACCCGATCAAATGTATGACCTTGGGCCTATGACGACCGCCTTTTATAACCAGGTACGTAACCAAGGGTGCATAATTGTACTCCACAAAACGGAAAAGAATATACGGTTAAGGAGGAAAAAATTGTGTACATTATGAGGATCAAGTACAGTTGTGTCAAATACTCTTTTCTGGTTTGATCTAAGTATGTATGATATATTGAAGCAATATTTCGTCAATTCATCCAAGTAACGAATTTGTCTGCACCTTAGAAGTGTGTAAGTCCTATTACTCATTAGTATTATGAATGATTGATCGGTAAAAGGAAAAACTGCAGTCATTTCCCCGTGGTTTGATGTGGTCTAATGGCTAGGCACACGGTTTAGCATTCAGGAGGGCAGAGGTTCGAGTGCGTGGGGCCTGCGTTTTTGTTCACCAAGACCCCCTTCAATACGATGTTTGTTGGCCATAAGTTGCTCAGATATGAGAGAAAGATAACAGGAGGACGGATTGATATGTCAAAGTGCCGTATTGGAACAGTACAAGTAGTGAATAGGTCTTTATTTCGATCTTCGCGCAGTCACAGTGGAGCGTGGGATTATCTGTTCAGACAAACAATGGCTCTCAACATTCAAATAACATAATAGGGATTATAATGCTTATACAAAATAAGGAAGTGAATGAATACTTGAACAATACTGTTTTGGCATATGCTTGGTTGTTTGTGGTCAACTCTTGACCAACCAACCTAAGCTGTTACAAACGTATCTAATACGACTGCAAAGAAGGAAAGTAAGTCAAGCTGAACTTTGAGTCTAATTTGATCTATACATGAAGAAGACCTATGATGTTTGAGTGGGACGCAGATGTGTTCGATTGTGCTAGATCAGTGCGCGCAAGGGTCTTATCAAGAAGTCTTGAAAACATTATCAGAAACTTTGTTGTAGTTTATCCCTGTCACTATCCAAATATATTAATCCTCCTGAGCGTTTTTGCTTCCTTCCTTGTATGTATTCTTACTGCCACGCTTGAAGAGTTCCAAAAAACGCCATCATTCCTCTCTGTCGTATATGAAGTATCTTCTTTGAAGTATCTCGTGCCTCCAGTCTTCATTCTGAACAGTCATGACTTGGGCCAACTTTTAGCACAATGCAGTTCTGTGGCATTTTTTGATTCATTTCATGTATAAAAATGATCTGTTTTTCTTAATATACACATACCGAAGTCAATATTTAGTTGAATGAAATTTCTTTTCACAGCACTTGCGTATAAACACATTCTGTTGTCTTAACACTTTTTGGTTCCATAACACACCTTGTCCTTATGTGTACAAAAACAATTTGTCATAACCTTGAATTGACCTTGTAATCCTTAAGTCATTCTATGGCCTAGGATAACACGACAATTTCTTATTCTTTCTCTCCCCTTGGTTATTTTCAAATGAACTTTTATTTGTTTAACCTTTATTATTTTCATATATTTTTTTTTCATATAGACATGTCTCTTACACATTAATACAAATACCTATTTATAAAAAATCCTTCACGTTGATTGGATGACTTATTCAGTATACAGTAAACCGAAGAACCTTGTACCTATTTATATTCGATAATTTTGTTGTTTGATTATATTTTCCTTGAAAAAGCTTGGACCAGATTGCCAGACGAAACGTTGGATTTACTTAAAATTCATTCGCTGAGATTTTACAAATATATTCTTCTTTTTCATGTCTTAGTCAGGTTTACTTCTAAATTGCCTGAGTCTTCCTTTTGTATTTTGTAGTGGAGTTGGTTACTAAGCACACGATCTCTGAAGCGAAGCACATAATTACGAGTCAGCCTAGACAATCGTCGGACTTCCGCGTAAGATCTCATAGATTAATTAATTGCATCATGACAAATCTGCAATTTTAGGTATAGTCCTTTTATTATAACAGTACTAGTAGCAATCCACACCATAATTCTACATGTTAACCGTAAGTTTCAAGATGTATCTAAAACATTTTGTCCAAAGTTTACACATGTACCAAAGAACGTCACTATGCTTCTCTTGGTATCTATTTTCGTCCGGTCTTTGATAGACAAGCCAAATTTGTGGACGGTCGCTTCGAGTCTGAGGATAGTTCTAGTGCTCGTGGAGGATGCAGAGCAGAGTGTGTAAAGAAAGCTAGAACAGAGTGGATTGGGAGGAGAAGAAGAGCCCAGTAAACAAACAAAATGGACTTAAACATCATGACGGAAACAATCGATAACTAATCGAATATAGATTGCGAATAAAACGATTTGTCAACCACGATTAAAAGTGTAAGTATCAGATTTCGAATCCGTTATACCTATCTAAATCTTTCAGCCTGCCAATTTTTAAGTCGCTCGTCAACTCCTCTTCTGTACAGCACTCATGGAACAGACTATCCGTTTCATCTTCCAATAAAAAATCTTCAACTTCTATAGCTTACACAAAAACGTTATTCGTCTCTAGGATGTCTATTTTCAATTTGGGTGGACTAAACTCCAACATTATCGACCACGATTAATAAAGTGTACCTACCTCACTGATGGCTGCCGAAAAACTGCTGCTTTCCATACAAAGTTACGCTAATATTAGACAAGTTATACCTTACATGAAATCTATTAACCAACTTCATCGTCTTCTCTTAACACTCAAACCATCACTTAACTGCTCTGTCATTGCGACCAACCATCATCTTTCTTGGTAATATTGTAGCGTGGCGTCGAGTCGAAGTTGACTATGAACACCGCTACCAAAAACAAGTACCAAGTAAATCAGAAGGCGAAGGTTGAACGTAACCAAATAAATCCATAAAATCCCCGAGAAGCCAAATATCAGAAGGCAGTGAATGGACCAAGTCGAGATATATTTGCTGGCGATCTAGTGGTATCGAAAGGATACCGAGATCGTGCCAGGATACAAGCTTGGTTACAGAACGTAACCGAATTCGCGCGAAGTCACAATGAAAGTGTAAGAATAAGAATGGAAGCAAAATATAGCTGTCATTAGCACAGTCAAACAAAAGCACATTAAAACAAACACTGGTACAGTTGGTTATAATAATAATTGTTTTTATTAAACCAGTCGTGTTCTCGTGATAAATGTGAGTCACTACAATATGATAACTGCTAGTATCCGGAGAGCCTACTACTCTGAAACAAAGCCACTCACTCAAATAACAAGATATAAAAATCCACAAATAACTAATAACCTGACTAGAATCATTGCGGTCAAATTGCCAGACTAACACACATTGAACATTGTCAATTACCTAGAATCCCAACGAAATGGCATGAAGCGAAAGCAAAGAAATCAGTCAGTTTATATATTGGATATTAGATCAATTGGGAATTTATGTAAGGCTCACCTTGTGATGCATTACTAGAGTCTGGATTCGTGTATATAGGAGACAGACGTTATTCCCTGTATTGCTAAGCAGTAGAGATAAACATTGGTTATATACCTAGTTTTTCTATTCGTCTTCCGTGTCACGGCGGTAGAAGTAAAGCATACCGATGACCTTGATCGGCCAAAAAGCTAGGTAACTGGTTTCGTAAGAGGATATATGATAAGGAAGAAGTCGAATAACACAGGATAAGTAGTTTTGGGATTGCTAGCAAACCTTTATGCTTAATTATTTGTCATGACGAGTGAGAAAGGGTTAGAATCATTAGTTACGTAATATCAAAACAAACAAAAGAGGGGTAATAGTGGCGAACTCGAGGAAAAAGGGGTGTAAATTGTAAGCAAATAGAAAACGTTTTACTTTCTATTTGATGTGGTTTATATTAGGAAAAATGACTAGACTTATGGGGATAGGAGAAAAGGTTAGGAAATAGGGTACTTGGGATTAAGGTTTGGATTTAAAGCTGGAATGGCTCTGGTAATAACCACAATGATAAAGCATAAAGCCATTCCGATTAGAATCGAAATTATTATCATTACTATCATCCTTAATGTATTTGTTTTCTAATGTTTCTTCCTCGAATAGACTAATCGTTGTGTATGTGTGCTCAATTAGAAACTTCATTTTAGATCATAAAAAATCACAGCGTAAAAGTGATTGGTGCTCAGTATTAGGAGATTTAAATGCCCCTAATATTAACTGGGAACTGATGTCCACCGTAGTATCCGATAGTACATTCGGTAGTAGGTTCCTTACGATTGTGGTTAATGGTGCTCTAAAACAGCATGTATGTTAACACACATCTTGTGGTTCAAACCACGCGTCTTTGCTGGATTTAGTGATCACTCGTGGAACCGAAAGTATTACTGGTCTAAATATCCCCGCACAGTAGGCTAATAGTGATCATAATGGTTTGCCATTCAGGTTCAGAGCTTGTGACAGTTGTTTCTAAGGTTCGATCTCCCTCAAATTTATGGAGAATTAACATTTCGGTCATGAAGGATTACGCTGCAGTAACGGACTGGTCATTTTATACTAGTTCTTCAATTGGAGAAGTATGGTCTTTATTGAAAAAGACACTTAGCTCAGTTACGTCCTTTTTTATGCTATGGTTAAAACGTCGTGGACCTAAAAACCATTCACCATAGATAACAAGAGATCAGGAGAAAACGCCACGATATGTCCACTTCTTCAGACTCTGAATAGTTCAAATCTACTTATCTGAAGAATATGAACACAGAGAGTGCTGATAGGTAAGCCGATATTCTCATATGATAAACAACCAGTCTGGGGTTCTCAACATAGTTTCAAATGGTTGTCCTCATGTATGAAGAGGTGAACTCAGAGAAGTAATGGGATATAGTCACTTCCGTCACCCCCAAATACCCTGGTACGGTCGAGAGTGGGTAGAGTCAGCTCTCCCTCTCGAAGTGCTCTCACATGGCCACGTTCATACAACCACTGCCAGGGAAGTTCTTCCCACTGCCTCCTCGCGGCGGGGGTGTTTACGATACTGAAAGGACAAAAAGTGAATGTCCGGCGCTTTAACTGGGTTAGTGGGTACGGAGGATCCACCTAGAGGAAATGGAAAACCCTGATTCCAAACCAATGGTTCATATGGGCTCCAGGATCCTGAAGAAACAAATGACTTATGGATCTATCCTTGTCTGCTGGATGCTGTGGGGACTGTATCTCTTAACGTTGCTCCACTGCCTCGTGGGTTGGAACTCTAGATCGAAGGCTCGGGGTGTGCCCCCCTAAGAAAACCACCTACTTCGGTTTGGGTACCCGGGCAGTGTCACAGCCCTCACACAAATCGAATGATTCATGTGGCACGTATCTATTTGATACCTCCTTGTACCAATGTTGGGTTTAAATAAGTAAATAAGTAAAGTTGCAGACAAATCCACTGACATTAGTAAGTAATGAAATTGAGAAAACTGATGCCTTGTTAAAATATTTTAGCAGTGTTTTCTACTGACGACGGTGCAAGATCAGCAATTAACTCCAATAACAGTTTTCTGTCGATGGATTCCTTGTTTATTAAGAAGTGAGTTCTACAAGTAATTCAACATCTCGAGCAGGATAAGTCCAGTGGTTCTGGTGATATCTGTCCTCAAATCATGGGAGCCCTAGCTGATATAATTGCCGATTGACTGGCAATACCCTTCGATATGTCCCTGAAGTTGTCAAAAACTACCACGAGACTGGGGAGGTACAACCATTAATTCAGTCTACAAAACTGGGTACAAATGTTTGGTCAGTAACTATCGCCAAGTTAATCCAAATAAATAGGTTGTCAAACTAATTTATTTATTTATTTGAACACATGAATATTGGTACAAGAGAGCGCCAATATATATGCGTCACACTGAATACTGGGAGGTCTTAGATCCTATGTAACTGTTAATAAGGTACAAACTACGTCACCTAGTTTTAGATCTCGCGCTAAAACTCAGCGGCCTTTGGTTTAGATCCGATTGGTTCATAAACATAATATACTTCAAGTAGTACTTCACCTTAATTTTTATAAAAGCAAAACACTTGATGTAATCTGTTGTCAAGTAAAATGCAAGGGACCAAAGTTGATGGCTGTAACAAATTCATTTTTCATAAAACGTAAGTTAAGGTGTCGTTACTGATCTAGTACAACTTTATCGCTTTGGTTTTGAGCTATGTAATTGTGTGTGTAGAGAATGATAATAAAACTTGTCTACTCAAAACCTGGTATCACGTTGAAAGCCACCAAAATAATCCATCTGAGCTAAAAATCTCCATCTCAAAGTCGAATGTTCAAACCAATATTTATATTACACTTCTAATTATAGGCTATCTAATTTAACAGCAAATTTTTTGCTTATATTCTATTATGTCTGTTCATTTTTCAGTATGTTTTAGAACATCAAACTATAATAATTTGTCATTCAGTTATAAGCTAGACTTGCTAAATTATTTACTCAGTACTTACTTGTATTTTTAGAGTATGAAAAGTGACACAAAAAATTTAATTGCTGGAAGCTTGTCCGGTTTTACTGTCCGTTTTCTAACTCAACCACTAGATGTTATAAAAATTCGTTTTCAAGTGAGTTTTTGTATTCTATGCTTGTGTTAAAAACAACTATAATTCAGTTACAAGTTGAAGATATTAAGCCCTCAGGAAAATCATATTACACTGGCCTATTACAGGCATTCATTCGTATTTACAAAGAAGAAGGTTTATATGGTCTATGGAAGGGTCATGTACCAGCACAATTTCTTTCTATTACATTTTGTGGAGCACAAGTAAGTGGTAGCATAAAATTAATAGTAATTATCTTTTTACCTTGCTGAATACTGTATATAAAATTAAAGTAGATACGTAGATGAGTGTTGATCTTGACAGTTGTCGATTGTTGTAGGTTTTAGATTTTAATGGGATGTAAGATGACCAATAATTCAATTGTAAGACAGTAGTAGCTAGTGCTACATATTGATTATTTGATAACAAACCGTTTTTATTAGTGCTAATAATCAAACTATATCTACCGTTCTTAATTCGATTGAGGTGCATTTTTTTGTGGTTGATACCTAAGTGTTCAGATTTACCTAAAAATGTTCACCTAGTTCTTCTCTTTGGTCAGTAATGCACACTTATCTAACACACTAATTCATTTATTTATGTCAACAAAACCGTTCATTTTCAACTCTACTGTTGTAGATGATTATTCTGCAGATTCTTGAGACAAATATTTTATTCATCTGTAAGGGTTTGTGTTTTCCTGTGTTTTTATGTTCAGGATTGCATTTGATCGATCGCTGCATGTGTGCACCTTGAACAGATGACACGATGTTGTTTACAGCTTTAGGAATAATTTGGGATTCTCCCGAATTAGTAGCTATCTGAAATAATATGTTGACCCTCAAATCTATAAGTACTGGGTTCGCGTCTCACTGTGAACATTATCATTGCGAAACAAGTACATTCAGCTGACTAGTTTCAAATAAGACGAAATGCATGTCTTAAATTTCACTGTTGCCTACAATCTAGAAATATAGTGAATACTGTGGCAAGTTTATAGCGATACATCAATCTGTGACTGTTAAGCTAAAAAATAGTTACTTTTTTATGGATCTCTGCATAATGTAATTGGTCCTTTGGTCTGTCATAACTTCGACACTTTCCTATACCACTTACAATAAAGGTTTTTATCGAAAAAGCCTACCTTCTTCACTACTCAAGGTTTCTTTATATGAATATATTACTGTATTTCACTATGCTTGAAATTAAACTTACTTTTCATTATTTTTGGCGAATGATATTCATGAAACCAGGATGTTGATGTTCGATTATCACCTCTTGTTTGTTGTTTAGGGATTATTTCTCTGCCCCATCGGTAGCTGTCATTTTGATGCCTATTTTAATAACTCACCCGAGCTATATTGACTGGAACACTTGTTCCTATGTCGGGTAGGTCGGTTGGAGAACGGTAAAGCTAGAAGCAGTAACTTAAAGTTTGAAAACGGAGTCGTACTACTGGATATAGAGGAGTGTGATAGCAGTAAATTATCCCCTTCAGACAACCAGCACTTTCAGCTATGCTTTCTTATCACAAAGGAAGGGAGGATTTAGGAAAGGTCGAGCCCAAAAATATTACACCTCATCTCAACCCACGGATTTTCGTCTCCAGAAGTAAGGCTTCTAAGCTACGGAGCTAATAAATCTTAAACTTCTCATGAAAAGAAATGTATGACGAGCTTCAAGCCATTGTCCCCTGGATTCTGTGGTTACGCTCCTAGGTCACTAAGACTACTACTAACCCAGTTTCCTTCTCATGTGCCTCACGAAGAAGTATTCTTCCACGGTGTGCGCATTCGGAAATCGACATCCGCTCTCAAACCTGTTACAGCATAGGAGATTATATTGTTCACATTTTGATTAGTTTCTTGCAAGAATTGCTACTTCTTTGTTATTAGCGAACCATATTCGACACCACTGGCGAAATGTTTTACTAATTAACCAGTTTTTTCACTACACTTCACATCTAATTCAGAATATTCATCGGAATAGCTAATGTGATGAGACGTAGATAGATAAACTTTTCATCCACATAACAAAAATGGACATAGAACTCTATATGTGTAAAAGAACCAAAATTTAGTTAGTTATCAGGTGCGACATATCTAATTACAGCAGTAGTGTGGCAGTACAAATATTAGTAGCAAACTATTAAGTCGAGAATTATGTGTTTTAGTACAGCGATAATTCAAACTTTCATGTTTATTTCATCAATCCTATCAGTCTCTGTATTATTTGAAAATACTAATGTGATCTTTTTTTGCAAATAATCTTACATTTTAGTTTGGGAGTTTTTATGCCATTGAAAATTTACTAACCAGCCAAATAAATCTTAGCTCATCATCTGGATGGGTGCATGATATGATAGCCGGTAGTGTAACTGGTCTGATTGCGTCTACATTAAGTGAACCATTAGATGTCATGAGGACACGACTTATAGCTCAAGGTAAAAATCAGGTAACCATTTATAGGTTTTCTAAAGAGAATTATTGACTATGTGCTTTACAGTTTTGTTCATAAGAATGGAAAGTTTGTGTATGTGCGTGTTGGATTTTTTTATGGCTGAGATAGATAACAGTAACGTAACTTATTTACTACATATAGATTTATGTACTTGGTTTTAACCCATACTATATGTAGATTGCTGGGAATACATAACTACCTTAGCCAAATTAAGTAAAAACAGGGATTCGAAGCTTGTTTTTCTCGAGTGTTTTAATCTTCAATTTGTTAAAGTTGTTTGTCTGGACAAAAAGCCACAGTAAAGCAAGCCATTACACGAGTATGGATGTTTCAGATAAATACTTCTAGAATAGTGGATCAGCTTTGTACTCATTTTGAGTGTAACTGTAGTCCTATCTAGCGGTTTTTGAGTAGTAAGATAGAATAATTATTTCATACAATAACTGTAACCTGTATATTAGTGTGTAAACTTATAGATGGCTAATTATTTGTATTCTTGTTATCATATCTTGTCAAATTAAGATATTATGAAGCCCTAAAATGTTGGGATAAATATATGTGACTCAGTGATTTGAGCCTTCAACCGTTTTTCGAGAATATTCTCATCCTTCTATTCGGTTGATATGAACTACATGTAAATGATAACTGTACGTTGTATCTCAGTAATATCAGTGTATTGAAAAAAGAATTTATTGCTTACAATACTAGTGACATAATTACTAGCAGTAAATAAATATGGATATTTAAATTTCTTGCCAAATTGAACCCAATGCCTTCAACTGTTTAAGCGAACATTTTAGACCCTGAATTCATTAAACATAATCTGGGGAATAATTTCATTGTTTTTACAAATCAAATCAAGTCCAAATTAAAATGTTTATCAAAGTTAAGTCGTAATTGAAATACAGGCGAACTGTAAGTCTCAACAAACAAGGGTTCCCATATATATTGTTTTCTTTCTCCATTTAATTGGATTTGCAAAATGTTACCATAGTGTACATTACTACTCGATCAAATTACCAGGTAATCAGTACAGTCATTCGGTACTTTGAATATTTTCACAGTTATAAATAATATTTTGAAAACTGTCAGTAGTAAATCAACTAAGTATAGATGGTCTGTTCAGAAAATACAGTAACCAAACTACTACAATTTTTTATTAGATTTAGGTGAAATTGTCAGGAAATTTATGGAACGTTATTTATACAGTTGTAATCTATTGAAGATAACAGTTATTTTTAAATAGATCAAGGGTTTCTGTGAAGGTCGTGAAGACCGTGGGTATGGGGTGAGGTTACGATGATCATTGTTGACGTCTCATGTTGTGTCCAGTGGCTAATTCAATGTTTAAACGATTGCCAGTCACCTAGATTCACATTATTCTAGCGTGACGTAAAAATGATAAGACAACTGAAGAGTGACTTCGGTAGAGTTATATGGGTGTATTAAACAAATGAAAATATTTTGAAGGGAATAAGATGGATTTAACCTAAATTTTGTTGGTTAAATTTTGTATAACTTCAATGCAGACATTTACTCGACAAATCACTTATGTTTCTTTCTCAGATTTAACAAGTAGAGACAATTTTATGACAGTTGCATGAATATGAACATATACAGTGAAGTAAATTGTTATTACTACAAAATAAGAGACCAATGTTTACATGAATTTATTTTGTGCTTTGAAATGAAGGTTTATTCAGGCTTCCTATGTGGTATGCGTCATCTTATTCATGAAGAAGGATTATTTGGCTTATGGCGAGGACTTGGACCATGTCTTATATCAGTAGTACCACAAACAACTGTTTATTTTACAGTTTATGAACAATTGAAGCGTTCTCATGTTTTATTGAAATCAAAAGAGAATATCCCTATGAAGCATAAATCCGATTCTTTAAATAACGATGTTGGTAAGTTAAAGCGATTTTCTTTAATATTTATATATGGTATTACCAAACAGATCTAATGAGAGATTTGTCTGGAAGAAAAGCGAACTCAATACAAAAGGTAAATTCACTGTGGAATTTGACTAGTGCATTCATTTAATTCCTATTCATACTCGTCCGATCAACATATATTTCAAGTATTTATCTATGGTTGTATTGTGTCTTTCGAAGTGGTTATCAATACTTTTCATAGTTAAACTATTCGAAATAACCCAAGTTGACATACTTCACTATTAATATGAATCAAAAGAACTCTTTCCTGAAAACTGGACTATACGATAATAATATAAAACACGACAACAGGCACGAGGTATGTATATTTGTGCTAGAAGTTACAAAGCATTGCATAATACATATACATTACCATTAGTTATCCATTTGCATCTTCCGTTGTGTTCTGCAGTCTGAACTATCTTCTCAACCGGTCTCCAAGTGTTCTTCCAACGCCGTGCTTTCGATGCACTAAAAATTTTCACTGTCCGACAAGTGTTGCAACTTCGATGCAACGTTCCAATACACTCGACTTACAAACATCCTTGTGAGTAGTGTCCACTACAACAGTTGTATGCTTTCATTTATTGGAAGGTTCAGAACAAATACCAGCTTAAGATGTGGTTAGCAGTTGCATCCTATATTTATTCAGTCCATAGAAGTTCAAGATCGAATAACCTTAAGGCTGGCGATTTGAATCCTATCATAACCCAAGTTTTTCAACGTTAGTTATCTTAACTCCACTCTTGTATGTTCTAAACCTAGGTTGGTTATCTTGTTAAGAATGCTTTAAAACTGAACAAGTAGGAACAATCGGTTAGATTATATTGACAAAATTTCGTAAATTCATTAAGGAATGTTTAATTATTTCGACTAAAACTGCAGTCAATGTATCATTACAAGAAGTTAAGACAAAGTACCTTTTGAGTTTATAAGAAATCATTGCATTTAGTTTGAAGTTAAATTTATCGGATAAATAAAGCTATTTTAGATTCCATTTGTCATGAACATTGGATTGTTTTGTTTTAATTAGTTATTGGGATTTCCATTTGGGATAGCTGATATGATTACTGATGAGGGTTTGAGTTATCTCATTGTTCACTATTAATTGGTGATAAATAAAACTATATGTGCGCATTAGATTTTAATGTCATGTTCTGTCAAATGAAGTCTACCTTGTAATCGATCGAATTACAGAGGACATTTATATAGCGCTGTGATAGGTATGAGGGTGATTGTCACTTCCTGGTTACTTACACCATAAGAACACTTCTTAAGGTTATCTGAAAAGAAACCCAAATTATGTGTATGAGTGATCATGACTTTCTGATAGCATGACAGCGGTGCCTGAGGGACAACTGCTTGAGGCCGATCACACTGAACTTTATGAGTAGTTTTAGATGTGTTGTTTCCATACTTTAGAGGTGACAGAAATTGTTTAGGGGAAGCTGAGGTGTACTATTTTTTTTAGCCGGCCTTTTTTAAACCTTCTCTCTCTTTGTTATAATGAGGTATTCATAAATGTGGTTTGTGTTCCGAAAATAGCTGATCAATTCGATTCATTAGTGAGAAATCGTAAAATGATTAATACATCTTTTTTAAAATTACGTATATATATTTCTTTTTAGCTCATGAATCATCATTGGAGACTGATCACCATCTTCATCAACAGTTAAATTGGCATTTTCCACTTTGGGCTGGTGGATTCTCTGGTCTCTTAGCTAAGACAATTGTATATCCTCTTGATTTAGCTAAAAAACGTTTAGAAATACGTGGATTTGAAAAAGCTCGTTTAACATTCGGTCAATTGCCTAAAGGTTATACATTATCCACATATAAAAATATTAATTTAACACAATTAAATTATAATCAATTTTTCGCTTCATTCTATTGTTTAATAGATATTTTTAAAGAACATGGTATTTATGGTTTGTATAAAGGTTGGATACCATCAGCTTTAAAGGCTACATTAACGACAGGTTTAATGTTTTGGTTTTTTGAACAATATAGTTTTTTATTATCTTATTATTAATACTACTATTAACTATTACTACTACTACTACTAATAATAATAATAACAGTAGTGCTAGTTTCTTTTCTTTGACAGTTTATGATTTAATGCTTTATGCAATTCCTATTGGGACTCATTTTATTTTATTTTGGATTATTTTTGTATGTTTTAGAGAGAAATATATTGATAGTTCATAGTACTACTGCTACTTCTACTACTACTTTAGTGAACAAAACACCAGTGGGGACAATCGAATGTATTTGACACGAAATGACAGAGTATCTCAATAAAATCTGAGAACCATATAGTAAATCGTTAATTTGCAAAATATCAATTCATTATCTCAAACTTGACTGTTCATGTTGCAAACATCAATTCGTTGTCTCACATTTTATTGTTCATGCGTTTTCATACCAATTTGCGTTCTCTTCCCGTTCTTTCTTCATCGACTTTCTACTGAAATACATTCTATAACTGACCACCGTTATATACTACTTGTATGGATATAAGTAACACACACCACACTACTACTGTCTTTCATAATATTATTGTTAAACCATTTACTAGGTGTGTATTGATACAATTCTCAAAGATTTAGGCCTAATACTCGTAATTTATTGAAGAATGAATGACCTACAAGTTAATTTCCTTCAATTACATATAACATTTTACCATGTTTATTTTCTGGTCATATTTTGTATCTAAGGATGTTATTTTATTCCATCTAAAAAGCCTATTCATTTGACTAGTTGTCTTGTCTTTCGGAACCTTAAAGCAATAATACGGTCTTGTGAGTAGCTATCGCTTGGTCACATTATATCATTACGTTCATCTATCGATTAGCATTCTGTCCATCAATTTAAACAGTAGATATTTCACATCACACAGAAAACACATTCCATAACAGGTACAGATTCGTGTAAGTGGTTAGTAGTTACATTAATTGTGTAGATTAGTTGTACTATGCGTTCCCGCAAATTGAGGTAGATGGAGGAGGGTTCGGACTTGTGACTTGGTGACTAGGAATTGAATGCCTTAACCACTGAATGACAACTACAATTTTCTGATAACTTATATACAAAGTTTATATGCTCTAATAGTTTATGTACTAATCAGCTTTGAGCTTAGCACTGTTTGCATAAGAACTATGGATACTACATTGTCAAAAGCTAAGTTAGATGCAAATATTGTTAGAGATAGTATGGGTAGTTATCGCATATCGGTCATGTACATCAAAGGAGAATACCTTTTGAGGCGCCTGACGAGCAATTTGAATTACAAGTGGCACCGGAAATCTATGGGGCAAAGAAATACATAGTATTTTTAGGAATGTCACTAACAATTCGTTTAATAATCAGTGACAAAAGTTTTCTCAATTGATTTAGATAAATTTGTATGTCAAAGTGCTCTCTTGAACATCTCTTTTAATTTACTCTACTCATAAGTAGTTAAATTAGATTAACGAAAATTGAGGTCAGAATTCACATTCAAATGAATTGAACGACTTCAATCCGTAAATAACGCTAGTGAATGGAGTAACGATAATAATTTAAGAATAGTCAGTTATGTAGTCTCTTACGTGCTACTCTTTTGAGCTTCATCTTAAAACGGGTTTTTTGAAATAAATTCAGCTTCGAGTATAAAAAAATTTGAGTTTTCAATCTTCCGGGTGGTTGAGTAGTTATGCTCTAAGGACACTGATTGGGGAGTCACAACGTCGCTATAAATACTATCCATGTATGCGTCTTTTCCTGCCACGATGGCATGCCATAAAATGGTCAATCGACTTTTTCCATTCCACTCTACCATCAGCAATTAATGCACGAAATTTATCTATCTAAGATGCCATTCGTAACACATGTCTAAGCCACTGAAGTCCATGTTTCTTGATGGTGACACCGTCTGGGTTATCGTCACCGTGCCAGTTTATTAATATAGTTAAACTAAAGTGCCATATGAAATGATTGTAATTGATTTTCTGAATTGTATAGTCCTGCCTTTTAAAATATGCCCCTGTTTTTGAGAAAATATTCTGTCATATTCACTGAGATGGTTAACCTTTTTAGGTATACTTATGAGTAAATAGAATTTTATAGGATATTTCACTATGATAACTTTACCATTCAGTGGATTTCAAGTAATTTGAGATTGTGACTGCTATAACTGACAGCAGATTAGAGGACAGCGAATTATCGATCGGACCAAAAACGCGCAAACACGTAAGAACGGCCCAGGGTTCTGATTGGTCCCGCTTCCCTGTCTAGCCCAGCCAGTTGGGTCCAGAACACAAGTCTCAGCCTCGGAGATATGAATCATTATATTTCAAACATGCTCTGTTTATATACCAATCAAGCAGACCACATCGTACCATAAAATAGAAAATAACATTTGTACAATACTGACCAGTAGGAAAACGACACGTGAAGTAAATATTGACCAATAAGAAAATAACACCATTTCAAGTTCCAGGATAGCGTTAGACTTAACAGAATAATTTTTGGGATATTTTCCTGAATATGCCAACCGTGACGATTTGAGAATTAATATCTGCTTTGAAATGTTTTGAATCTAAAATAGGCATCACAAATAACTTTTGGGTAATTTTATTAGATCATCTGATACATTTCTGAAAATTTGAGTAATCCTGTTCACCTGGGTTATACTAAAGTGCTCCATGTATCTCTAAAAATTAGTATGATATATAGACTAGTGTCAACCATTAGGTTGACAAGAATCCCGTTAATCAAGATGTTGATTTATATTTGATTTTCAGCTGCTCAAACACTTGAAAACTATGGGTTTTCGTACGAGGACGTAGAACGTATTTGTTTTAAGTAAATCGTCTTTGTGTTCAAGTTGTTGCATTTGTTTTTATTATACATGGACATGCATTTCCGACAAGCAGTAAATAAAGTAGATTTCTTAATTAATATAGTGTAGTTAATAATCGGAATAAATGTACATAGTGTTTCCCATTTAAAATCCAAACTTGAGCTGCTACCTTAGTGTGGCGATCAAGGTTATCTATCGTAATAAACCAATCAAGTGTTAACTCTTATTCTCTTAGTATCTATCATATCAGAGAGGTAGGTTTGAGAACGGTAAGATCAGAAGCGAAAACTTATGGTTTAATATTGAAGTTCTAATGGTGATTATACCGAGGTGTGATAGCAGCAAAGTGTTTCACTCAAACAACTAGTACCTGTAGTAATGATTCTCACTACGAAACGATGAGACGAAAAAAGGGTAATGTTAAAAGTAGCACATCTCATTTGATCCATGGAAATCTACTGTTTGAGTTAAGATGATTATAGTAACCAATGGTTGAAGACATTTGATGGTTCAGGGTCATTTCCACTGGCTCAGATGCATCCAATCTTTATATTGTGGTCGAAAATGAGTTTTATAACTAATTATTGTTACAGAATATTCCGTAATTGATTATATAATGTATGCAATAATACAAAGCACGTAAGATGTAGTGGAAATACCAAGATTCTCAAGTAAACTATTCATATTGCATATGAACAAAGAGTAATTACATCTAAGTTATGAAAATTTAGGGGCTTAAGAGTTATTTATATTTTCAGAAGTTGGTTTTGTGGAGAATTTAGTAATTTTATAGTTGAATTCATAAATCAATTAAATCTAAACCACCATGGAACCCCCTTCTGATAATAATCATCATATGCTCACTAGTGACTGGCTTCCCCGACCGTTGTTGCTACCTTGACGTGGTGGTCGGGCTTGCCTATCGTGATGAAGCAACTGAGCTATACTGGCTGGAACAACCGTTCCTCAAGGTCCTACCACGTCAGAAAGGTCGGTTGAAGAGCGGTAAGACTATAAGCAACAAACCCAAGGTCCGAAGGCGAAGTCGTACTGGTAACTGTACAGAGGTGTGACAACAGTAAGGTGTTTCCTTCAGGCAACCAGCATGACAGCGGTGCTGCCTTCCCACAAGGAGGGGTGGGGTTAGAAAAGGTCGACCCTAAAAATGCACACCTCGCCTTATCCCACGGATATCCGTCTCCGGCGGTAAGGTCTCAATAAGTACGGAGCTAACACAAAAATTGCCCATAAAAAGGTTGTGTGTGACCGGCCTCAAGCAGTTGTCCCTTGGGCACTGCGGTCACGCTCCCAGGTCACTAAGACCACCTCCAATCCAATTTCCTTTTCAGGTACCTCCAGAAGAACCCTTCTACGGTGTGGGCAACCGGGAAGTAAAAACGGCCTCATCCCTCTAACAGCACTCAAGACCACTGTATTCATAATCAACCTTCCTCTTCAATTCCTATTATTCCTCCTACATCGACTTCAAACTCTAAACTTCTTTTTTCGGCTTCCCCCTCAAGTGTCACCATAGCCAACGATTCTAGTGCTCAAAACACTGTCCCAGGTCTACTGAAACCTCGCTTCACACTACACATTGGAGCCTTCAATGTACGCACCCTATGTCAAATCGGTCAGCAGGCTTCCTTGGCTAAAACCCTAGAATCTCGTACCGTTGATGTATGCTGTGTCTCCGAAAAACGCATACAGGATTCCAGTGTGGTCATTCACTTGACCTCACCTCGGCAAAACGGAGAGCCAACGAGATACACCCTCCATGTATCTGGTGACCCGACGGCCAGCTCTCGTGGACTGGCAGGAGTAGGGATAGCACTAAGCATGTGGGTGGACCAAACACTGCTAGAGTGGATCCCCGTTAACAGTCGTTTATGTGCTGTTCGGCTAAACGGCTCCGTAAGAACTCGGAAGGATAGGGACACACGTCGTTGCCTTTTTGTCGTTTCTGCCTACGCTCCCACTGACTGCAGCTCAGATGAAATGAAAGATGAATTTTACAGAAAGCTTTCTGAACTTCTTCAGAAAGCTAAACGTTCAGACATAGTACTTGTAGCAGGTGACTTTAATGCCCAGATGGGTAGTTTAAACCAAACAGAAAGGCATTTAGGTGGGTATTTTGGTATTCCGGCACAGCGAACAGATAATGGTGACCGTCTGCTGCAGCTATGCTCAGACAATCGTTTATTTTTAGCAAACACAAATTTTAAGCATAAGGAAAGGCATCGTCTAACATGACGCCCCCTTACACCAAACCAACGATGGACTCAAATAGACCACATTGCCATCAGTCATCGTTGGAGAGGGTCGGTAGAAGATTTTCGCTCATTCTGGAGTACCTGCTTGGACTCCGACCATGCCCTAATACGGGCACGCATCTGCTTGCGCCTCACTGGAAGCAAAAAAGCCACATTAAAAAGACGCGTTAGAACTGAGTTGAGTAACGAGAAAACCAAAAGTAGGTTCCAGGAACAACTGAGGTCACAATTAGGTAGTTCTGAAAACGAGGCCGACCCAGATGTTGCTTGGAATGAAATACAAGCAGCTGTAGAAACAGGAGTGACTTCTATTGGTGATTTTAACCACAGTGTTACAAAGAACCAATGGATTTCTTCGAGGTCTATTGCACTAATGGATTCTCGCAAACTCGTCCCATGAGGTTCCGAACATGATGAAGAGCGACAACAAATCAGATCTAGGTTAAGAAAAAGTCTAAGAAACGACCGTGAGCAGTGGTGGGGAATGAAAGCAAAAGAGATGGAAAAGGCGGCGACTATAGGGAACATAAGACAGCTTTACAGACTAATAAAAGAAACTGGAATTAATAAGTCAAGTGTAAGTGAGATTATATCGGAAAAAGACGATACTCTCATCTGCTCCCAGTCCAGGCGTTTAGAA